CATTTCGGTTGGGAATCCGAAGTTGGACAAAACACTAACTCGTCCAACCAGAGCATGTCATCTCGGTTGGGAATCCGAAGTTGGACAAAACACCAACTCTTCCAACCGGAATACATCATCCCGGTTGGAAATCCGAAGTTGGACAAAACACCAACTCATCCAACCGGAGTAAATCATCCCGGTTGGGAATCCGAAGTTGGACAGAACACCAACTCTTCCAACCGGAGTAAATCATCTCGGTTGGGAATCCGAAGGTGGACAAAACACCAACTCTTCCAACCGGAGTAAATCATCTCGGTTGGGAATCCGAAGGTGGACAAAACACCAACTCTTCCAACCGGAGTAAATCATCTCGGTTGGGAATCCGAAGGTGGACAAAACACCAACTCTTCCAACCGGAGTAAATCATCTCGGTTGGGAATCCGAAGTTGGACAAAACACCAACTCTTCCAACCGGAGTAAATCATCTCGGTTGGGAATCCGAAGTTGGACAAAACACCAACTCTTCCAACCGGAGTAAATCATCTCGGTTGGGAATCCGAAGTTGGACAAAACACCAACTCTCAAAATTCCCAGAGACCCAGAAGAAGTCATCATCATTAAGGTCTTTGTCCGGTGTGTGCTTAACTATCTTCTCTCGACGGCGACGGATCCTAAGGTAATAGACCCACCCAGCATCTTTCGAGCCGATGGAATATTGATGGAATATTTCGGCAAGGCCAAGGTTTAAACCGGTTTGGTGGTTTAGTGCGGCTATTCCCATAATAATACGGTATATATTGGTGGACAGTTGGGTGGGGCATAGCCTAGTTTGCCTAAGGAACTCACAGATCAATGGTTGGACAGGAAACCGTAGTCCGGTTTCTATTATGGACTGAAGGGTAAAAGGGACGAAGCCTTCATTGTTCCAGGGAGTAACATCTTTTTCGGCCAACGCCAGATGGACGTCGTCAGGAATTTGGTAATCTTTCCTAAATTCGGCCATACCACCAGGGGTCTCAACTAGATACCTATACTTACCCATCTGGTGTATAATTTACTTATAAATTATATCGGTTCAAAAATCATGCTCAGTAGCTCGGTCGAGCGCACGCAGGAGTGCCTGGATAGCCTAAGTCTGCAAGGTAGAAAAAGACGGGGTTAAAGCACTGATCAATGGACCGTGCTACAATTTAAAAGCAAGGTATGAGAGCCCTATTTCGGCCTCAAAAGACTATTCCTATCTCGGTTCATCAAAGGGCTTGGTAACTCGGCTTGAACTGTTTGCTCGGTAGACCGGTTCAACATCTAGGGGCAGCTTTCTGAGTTCGGTCTAAAAAACTAAGAAAGCTGGTTTAGCCCCAGGGCCTAAATCGGTTGAGCTATGTGTTTTGTTACTCCGGTTAAGCCTCTAGGGCCAGCTTTCTGAGTTCGGTTTAGAAACTAAGAAAGCTGGCTTGGCCCCAAAGGCTTAGCTCGGTTATTGACTAAAAGTTCCTGGTTTAGTGAGTTCAGACGTCGTTCGGTGATCTTATTTCGGCTAAGATTGGATCGGAAATTTATTTTTCAAAACTACAGTCATCCTACAAGTTCTAGTCCGGCCAATTATCTAAGGTGATCTACCGCTGAAGCACAAAAACAGTTTCCTAGTTCGGTTGGGGCAAGATTTTGGATCAGAGACTAATTTTCTACAATATAGTTCATACACACATAGAGTTCTACTGGTTTTTTCATAAAAGTACAAAAGCAAAGCAACAAAAAGCTTAGTTCGGTTGACCACCGAGGTTCCTAGGTTGCTATATTCAAAACTTGGTGATCTTATTTCGGCTAAAGCGAGTTAGGCTCTGGTAACCCCTTTGAAACTTTCAAGTTCTAGTTCGGTTATTGACTACAGAGATCTACCTATTTGGGGGCAAACAGGATCCTAGTTCGGTTGCTATGTGATTTTGGATCTAAGATTGGTTTTCTACATAATAGTTCATACACACATGGAGTTCTACTGGTTTTTTCATAAAAGTACAAAAGCAAAGCAACAAATGGAGAAAAGTGTTTTCAAAAAAAGCATACAAAACAGAAACAGATGATAACACAGGCAAAAGAGCAAGAAGGATAAGCTTGTTTACCCGAGTAAGAGAGAAGCTAAGTGATGGAGGCAATGGCAGCAATAGAGGCACGAACACAGCAAGCTCGAAGCTCAAAGGCTCAGGAAACAGGGGAGAAGAGAAAGTGAAGAATGGAAGGTGAAGTGATTCAAGAAAAAGAAAGGTTATTTTGTGAAAGAGGGGAGAGAAAAAGGCGGCAAAAAGAGGCGGGAACTGTACAAAATTTCTGCAGGACGGCGTAACAGTTGGCCACGGCTTATCAGAGCCTGCCACGTGTCACTGGAATGGGAAGCGTTACAAACGCTATGATTGAAGAGACGTTTTTTTTTTACCGGACAAAACGGAGCCCGGAGTAAAGTCCAGCTCGGCTTAAAAGTTCGAGAGTTTTTAGCTCGGCTGGAGAGGCTAAAGAATTTTTAGCTCGGCTGGAAAAGCTTAAAACAGCGCCAGCTCGGTTGGAGGACTGGTAATCCCAATCATGCTATGCAAATGGAATTAAGGGGCAATTGAGAGGGTAATTTTTGGTAAAAATTGGGCCGAGCTATGTGGTGGGCTTCGTGACCCAAAGCACCAAGGACTTGGTAAAAAGGCCGCAAGCAATAAGGTTCTCCATGAAACCAACGTAATCAATTATGTAGCTGTTCTGTCCATGAAGATACCACTTGAGAGGGTAATTTTTGGTAAAAATTGGGCCGAGCTATGTGGTGGGCTTCGTGGCCCAAAGCACCAAGGACTTGGTGAAAAGGCCGCAAGGTTATTCCGGCCCAGGATAGATAAAAGTTACTCCGGCCCAAGCTGTTAAAGTTACTCCGGTTCAAGGACGATAGATTTACTCCGATTCTGAGGAGATGTTGACTTACTACGGTCAAAAGCGATGAAGTTACTTCGGCTAAGGAATTGTAAAGCTGCTTCGGTTTGGACAACTTGAGTTAGTCCGGTCCCAAAAAGGTAGTCCAGTCATGGTGAATTCAAGGTAGGTCAGTCGGAATGTAGCTACTCAGTAGATCGGTCCAAGCACACCACGGTTCGTGTATGAGAGAACCGAGATATGGTGTAGCATGAAAAAGAACCAAACTATTGTTAGTACGACCCACTTTGTGGTTCGGCATAGCCAGTGTTACTTCGGTCAAATAGTAATTCGGCCATGGAGAAAACCATCCCACTTGGTTTAAGCAGTGGGGGAGGGTGCAAAAGGATGAGCATTGTCCTTAGGAGAATGAATCCTAGGAGGACTCTGCATGGAGAAATACAAGTCCTACTAGGATTGTGCCACGTCCTAGGAGGACTCTGCATGGAGAAATACAAGTCCTACTAGGATTGTGCCACGGGAAACTTATAAAAGCCCACAAGCACCACCTTGGAGGGGGTAATTGAACATAATTCTTTCTGAGAGCATAAAACTTTGTCTATTTGTCAAGCTTACTAACTTAGGCATCGGAGGGGTTTCCGGCACACACCCGCCGGCTAGCTCACGTTTGTGTTTTCAGGTAACAAAGCGACGTCGTACGGAGGAGCGTGGACTTGGTCAACAGGATTATACGAGGAGAATTATTTCCTCCCCGTACAATTGGCGCCGTCTGTGGGAAGAACAGATGGGAAGAACAGACAAGAACAAAAACCTCTTGACTAAGCTTCTCCTTATTCTCAAATCAATGGCACACATTGAAGAACTACCGCAGTCCGCTGTCGACAGGCTAACTCCAGATGGGGGTGCAAGGCGAGAAGGATTACCCTCCGTCCCTCCTATGGCAGATCTGGAGCCCCAACAACATAACTCCAGGAGGAGTGGCAGGGGAAGGCGGAACGGCAGCCCTCGTCACTCTCAAAGTCCTGACAGGCAAAGGAGGAGGATTGATCCTCAAGCCCTGGAAGATCGTGTGAAAG